GTTGAAGGAATATCATGGGCGGTCAGCCTCAGGTTAGCTGTGCTTGCATGAGCAGATCGGCCACATGGAGTTCATTTCAAACTGTTTTAAGACACTACTGCAGCCACTGTGAAACACACAGTGAGTCCGATTGATATTGCAGTTTAGTTTCAATTTGAGAAGTGTAAATCCATCTTTATCCTGACACAGGGCTAAGTGTATGCCTTGAATATGGTTTTTTTTAAAGTATTTATGAGAAATCTCAGTTATGAATTTTTTTTTTTACAATGGAACTTTTCCCCTGAAATTTTTAATTCCCTCCTAATAGAAGAAGCTTCATTTTTTTGTTCTTGTCAAGTAAGAATTCTTTTCAGAAAACATTCTGTGGAAATTTAGCTGAATAATTTGAGCTATTGTACTTGGTTTGCATTGCAGTCATGGTTAACATTAAATATTAATGTAGCTTGTTGTACCTTTTGAATTTGAACCATTTGAAAATGCAAACGTCTCTAGGTTACTTGTAGACTGTCTTTTGAGGGGCACTCAGAGACCATCCTGAAGATTATATTTGCCAACAAGGATAATGGGAAGTCTGTTTAAACTGGATGCAGACTAAACTTTCTATACCTTTTTTTCATTGTGAAATTTTATTAGCTGTGTATGTAGGACAGCTTTCAGAATGTATTTTTTTAAAAGTAATATTTTGCCTCTAAATAGAAAATATACATATTTCATCTGGAAGAGATAATCTTTAATTTCAAAATTAGTTCATAATACACATACTACAGTGTATTTATGTATCTTATACTTCTGTATTGTGTTTATGTAATTTAAATCTAATTTACTGAGAAGTTTAGTCTAGCTTTAGGTGATCTTGGAAAATGCGCTCTCAGTATAAATGTGTCACACATGCTTTGCATGAATTTAAACTGTATGGCTGTCATCATTCATCTGGAGTGCTTGTCCATCTGTTATCTTTCACACAGAGTGCTTTTTTATGTATAAAGAATAACAATGTTAAGCTTTGATTTATTTTTGTAACTGGTTTTGAATAAAAAGATTCCTCACTGGAAAACCTAAACTTGTTAAAGGGAGCTTGTGGAAGGACCAAACGAACAGACATCCAGTGAGATTTTTCTTCAGTGCTATCAGTTGCTTAATGTTCTTTCCAACAACTGTTTTTTCATGCTTGGTTTTTGGAGGGAAAAAAGCCTAAATCTAACATGTCTCTAAAGGAAACTCCTTCTAAGGGTTCTGATGAAAGCTGAACTGATCTATGAGATTTTGGTAGATGATAAAGGAAGGAGTACAGTGATGTCTGAATTAGCACCTGAATGCATAAACGTCTGAATTAAGCAGATAACTGGCATTTTATAGAATGCTAATAAATTGGAGTTTGGCTTCTAAGTTGGTTCAGAATCACTTATGCTTGAAAGTGAAAGCTCAGCATCTTCACAGAACTATGTGCAGACACAGTAGGTTTTTAAAACCTTCATTCTTCTTATCATATTTAGCCTCAACTTTCTAACAGTTGTAATTGTCCACAGAAAACATTTCAAGATAAATGCATTATCAGGTTTTGAAATTTTCTTATTTTTGTAAATACTAAGACCTGGGGGGCAAAATAAGGGCTATATTGTGGATTAAGTGAAATATCTCAAGGCTGTGCTTTTCTGATAACTGAACCTGAAGTGACCTTTCTCAGACACAATTACAGAGCTGTATGTTTTTCCTTTAATTTCATCAGGGGTTTAATTAGTATACAAATAAAACTTCCCTTATCTTCCTTTCTACCTAATTGGCTTGTCTTTGCTTATATATGAAGAATGTGAAAATGGGCTGTAATTAGGGTGACCGTGTTAACCTTTTTTCCTCAAATGTACTGTTGCCTAAAGGCCTCAAGGCCTAAAACCAGTGCTTTGGATTATTGCTTTGCAATCACTATGGCTCTCCCATAGGTTTTCTCATGAGCAGAAGGGCTTTGGGTGCTGCAGGTTCCCACTGCTTAACGGGATCTTCATTCTTCTCCCCACTAAATGTTTATTGATTATCTCACTGCTCCACACTCAGCCTCCAACAACTTAATATCAGGTGACAGTCAGGAGAGTTCTCCAAGTAATTAGAGTGGAGCATTGAGGGAACAATTAGGAGCAGAGTTATTAAACTTGATTTATCCTATTCTCTCCTGAACACTTTCTTGGATATCAGAACATCACACTTTCACAATCTACCCTGGCTGAGAAATTAGTGGCTAACCTGCTGCTTATCATTGTTGCCTTGCTGCCTTGAGGCACACCCTCTTGGTTTCAGTCACTCAGCTGGAAATATTAGAGTCCATAAAGTTTATCAAGGGTTTTAATTAGATCAATCTGAAGAAGGGGAAAAAAGAGGCTTACCAGCTATTATTTTATAATACTCCACACTGTATTTGAGCGTTTCCAAGGCTTGACTTTAACCCACAGTAGCAAGAAGCTTCAAGTAGTTGCTGAAACCGCTTTTGGAGTGCTAAAATCAGTTTCCATTTTGCTTAGATATTGAAGTATTGCTGATAGTCCTAATCCTTTGGAGATTTCTGTAAATAATGGTGTTCTTTTTGAATATAATGAAGCTGCTGTTCAGTGAGATACTTAATTTAACCATTTCTATAGTGCTTCATCACCAGTTAGTGTGGATTGCTGGTCATGCCCCTTAACAGAGTTAGGCTTCATGCTTTCATCCCTGCTATTGCCTCGTTAATAGGCCCGTGCTTGCAATGGGTAACCTAGATTAGTTAACAGCTCTCAGAAGATTTTGACACCTAGTGGATCTCTTTACCATTAGTGGTCAGTGATGAAAGCTTTACGTGGGAGCGGACAGCTCTTCAACCCCTGTAGAAGCATAACTAGCTTGAAATAAATATGCATAATGTTCCTATTATCCTGTCTCTCTCCACTCTTAGACCACTAGGATCTTGGAGCCAAAATCTGTTCCAGCAGCCTCTACATCAAAAATTTCTTGCATCAAAATATTAGCAGGATTATTTATTCTAAATCATCAAAACTCAGGCTTGTCATCTTAAAACCAGGTTTTTCAATTAGGTGGGAAAGTAGGTTGAACAAAGTGTTGGCACCAGAGACCTTCTTCACTGTTCAATAATTTCTGTTTGTCAAAAGCTCGGAATGTGGGCAGAGAGTAGACTTGACTTGGTTTTCACAACTGTATCCTCAATACTAACTTAAGCAAGCAAACAGTTAACACAAAACACAATAAATGGAACAATATAATGTTCTTTATTTTTAAATTAAAAATGGCTCCCATTATCCATGCTAATCAACATCTTGTTCCTTGGAAAGAACTTTTCTGAAAATCTGATAATTCACTAATTCAGCTGTTCAGACAGGGCTTTAGTAGCTGCCAGTGGCATTAGGGTAGAATTCCTGAAAGCAACACTACCAGTTTTGGGTATCTTTGTGGAGTGGATGAATGATATCTGTGTATTTATCTTTTTTTAGGTGAAAAATATCAAGTGTTCATTGAAAATAATGACCTAAGAGTCTGAATAGAGTAATTCAACCTCGGGTCGTTAGAGCAAGAAAAATATTAGCATTTCTGGGGTTAGAGTTTCTTAGATAAACTTCTGATTACTTTTTTTTTTTTTTCATTACAGCTGTGATTAATTTCAGCCTAGATTTTGTAAATTGCTGAACAGACAGTTTAGGTAGCAGTGCTGTACCTTCAAAATACAACGTTGAAATAACTGGATGCTTTTTTGACTTTAGAAATGTGTGAAGAAAACTTACACCAATCAGCAGATTTCAGTTTATTTTGCAGTCTAATGCTGTACTTCATTACTGTGTAGAAATTTTCTCTAGCATGTTGTTTTTTGAAGTACCTTTGACTCTTAGATAGGTCTCTAATTTTTTCAGATTAGTTGAGTTCTCAGCATCCTCCAAATTTTTACCAGCCTTTTGTATATACTGTTCTTGATACATATCCACATCATAGCACATCTTCTCCATGTTCCACAGTCCAGGGCAAGTACTCCTGAGTACAAATTATGCAGAGCATTCTCAGAACTTGAGCAGAAAACATATCCATAAATTTTGAAAACAAGGTGCAAGAGCTCAATCTTGCAATTATGCAGCCTTCTCTATTCTTCTACATCCGTTTAGAATATGTCAGGAAATACACCTTTTGTAAAAGAACCTTTATAACCACCTATTATAATTTCTCTCTAAAAAGGCAATTAACAGCTTTAAGTAAAATGTAACATTTAGCAAATTATGAAATCAAATTATTAATACTCCAGTCTGTAAATATATTGATTTATCCCAGCAGAAGGGAGTAGTAACTAGACAGGTTCTTTATTAATTAGTCCTGTGTGCTATTTTTCATTTATTGGATTAATCTGAATTGATTAAAGCATGTTGTGTTAATTCTAAGTCAGAGAGAAATGTTAAAAAATATACATACTATTTTGTATATTGGAAAGCTAATGTTGAAGTAGCGAAAGCACCATAAAATAGTGATCTATTCTTAGCAGGAATTGTGCCAAATTTTACTTGATGCACTAACAGAGAATATTAGATACTTTTTTTAATCCTGAAATTTCTGAATAGTGTAGAATATTTAAAAAAATGCTTCTTTGTTTATTCCCTTTTTTTGTGAATTCTTTTCTTTAATGTTTATTTTAAATTAAGTATTGAGAATATTTTGTGCTCTTTAATGGTGTACTCTTAATTATCTCTATTGTGTTTAGATCTGATATTTGTAAATATAGTACCGGTAGCACAGTATATGTCCCTGCTTGATCAAAAAATCACTTTATTTTATGAACATATTTGTACATAGGCCATGTACTACAAACTGGGGAGTTGCTGGGTCAGTAATGTTTTACCTAGAGAATTCAGAAGACTTTAGTATGCAATGGTCCAAATCTACTTCACAGTCAGTCTGTTTTCCACTTTGTTTAATAGCCTATGGCATAAGCTGAAGTTAATTATTTGGGCTGACAAGTAACTCTGTTTTCTGTCTGCTTGCAGAGCCTCTCGGAGGCAACAATGGAGCTGAGAAGAAGAGATCGATTTCTGCGTCAGCAAAATAGACTTCTTACCCAGCTGGAGCAGGACAAGCGTTGGCTGAGCAAGAGCATCCGTGATGCAGAGAGTGCCCTCTGCACGGCAGCGAAGTGAGCACTGGGACCTTGGGGAGATCACTTAAAACAGACAAATGATCAATTCTTACTTTCATGCACAGGGTTTTAGCCTTAGCTAATGTATTGCTAGAAAACAAAAGTACATCTATCTGTCTTTGAAATTCAGGGATAGCCTTTGAAAAAGAAAACTGTTAGTTCAAGGTACTAGATTTAGTTCAAGGTACTAGATATTATGTTTTCTGTAGTTATCCCATAATAGTGCTCCAGATTCTTGGTCCTGAAATACCGTAAGCATTTTGTTTGCTGATTATCTTACTGACTTGACAACATGCCTTTGGCAGATCCTTAATATTCTGTTTATTTAAGAAACGATTATTTGTTCTCTCTATTTTCATGTCATTTTTTAAATAGATACAATTTATTTATAATAAATACAGAAACATCAGCTAGATGACAGGTCTTAGCTGCCAAAGGGGCTGAAACCTGTTTTGGACCTAGTCTTATCTGTAGAACAGGACAGATATTTGTGCTGAATTCAGAGAGTTTTGGATTTAGACATAAACCCCATACTTTTTTATACCATAACTTGAAGAGTGGAAGGAAATGTTCAGGGACCAATCTTGAAAAGATTGATAGTCAAAAGGTGTTCTTTGACTTGAATGAGATTGTTACAGTTAACCTCTTACAGTTATATAGTCAGATAAAATTATAAATCCTTTCAGACTTTGTTGCCTATTACTTTTATTGTAGTATGCACTTTGAATATTGTTGGTCCATGGCTAAGATTTAAAAAAAAATCCAATTTAAAATTAAAATTTCTCATTATACCTGAGGTTCAATTGACCTCTGAAGAATAATAGCTTAGAAGCTTTAAGGGTTTTATGCAGCAGTGAAATAATGTAATTAATCTAGTTATAAGTGAAATGTTTAGCAACCTAATTAAAATGACAAATATTATTTGATATGAGTGTATCAAAACAGATGTGACCTGAAGAAGGATTTGTTCTGAAAAACTTACCCCTTTTCACCCTGCCCCAGTCTATTTTATGCTCTCTAGTAAGGATCATTCCCTGTGGTCATTCTTGTGTTCAGAAAGGGTTATTTTAATGTGAAGTGGTTTTAAAGTTGACTTTGTTTCTGTATGAAGTGGTTGAATATTGATTAAGAAAGCTCCAATACCATTTATTGTTTTACAACTCTTAATAACAATTTTTTTTTTTCCCATTGGAACATAAGCAAAGTAGCTGAAAAAGAGTTTGCTTTTATTCGGAAAATATTACTTTAATACCTATTCCATAACCTGAGTGATTGTGAGCAATGCATGGGTGTCTTTCAACTTCTTTCGTAAAGTTTTGCAGAGCTTTAAGGACAGCAAGATGGCTAGCTCATTCTGAGAATGGCTATCTTGATTTTCTTGAAGTGGTGGCCAGCAGTTCTTTCCACTTTCTTCCAGAGTAGGAAGCAATATTAATAAATGTGTCTGATAACAGTGACCATGACAGAAATTTAGTAGCCTTTTGGTAATTTGTCTGTGTCGTAGTTTAACCCCAACCAGAAGCCAAGTACCCAGCCAATCTAGTCCAAAGAAAAGCAGGATCCTAAGAAGAGAAAAGTCTATATGACAGCTTTATTAGGAGTGTAAAAGCCAATCCTACTTTTCTGGCCACCTTTCTGTATTTGCTGTTAAGATATGAATCAAGAAATGAGAAAGCAGCAGTCATTCCATGGAGAAAAATGCCATGGGTTTGGGTGGAAGAAAGGAGTCTGGGGGAAGACCTGATACCTCTCTGCAGCTACCTGAACGGAGGTTGGAGTGAGGTAGGAGTCAGTCTCTTCTCCCAAGTAGCAAGTGATAGGGCAAGAGGAAACAACCTCAGGTTGTGCCAAGAAGTTTAGATTGGACATTAGGAAAAATTTCTTCCCTGAAAGGGTTCTCAACTACTGGAACAGGCTGCCAAGGGAAGTGGTGGAGTCCCCATCCCTGGAGGTATTTAAAAGACGTGTAGATGTGGCCCCAGGGGACATGCTTTAGTGGTGGACTTGGCAGTTCAGGGTTAATGGTTGGACTCAATGACCTTTAGAGTTTTTTCCAACCTAAATGATTCTGATTCTATGACTTCTGGTTTGGGTGCTTTAAAAGCTCAAACAAAATATTCACATAGCTGGCAAAATAAAAGGCAGTCCTGGAATGTTAAGGTATATCAGCTTTTCTGGCATGGATCCCTTTTGAATTCCTGTGGTGTTTGGTGGTCATGCTGTCCTTTCTCCGTAGTCATATGGTATTATGCAACTTCAATTCTACTTCTGTCAATTGTCATTTGAGACCAAGGTTTTTTATGGCAAAATAACTGATGAAAACTGTCTTTCTTGCCTATTCTACAAAAAGGTGTAAGAGTATTGTTTCATTCTCCAAACTTCCCTTTTGTAAGGATAGGATCCTTGACTGAACTTCTTTTAGAAATATATGAGAATGTATTCTCTTCCTGCTGAAGCCTGGCCTCCTTTCAACGTGCCCCTTATATCTAAAACTGCATATTTCTTCTCCACGAGCATGATAGTTGTTTGTTAATATGCCTATAATTACAGCTGGTTTAATTGGTAATCCAGAGCATTCACCATGCCAAATAGTGGCGGATTAACTATTTTTTAGGATTTACATTGGAGATGTAAAAAGGGGAGAGAAAAACAAACAGTTTGAGTTATCAACAATTACTTGAAAAGCTGTGATAGTTAAAAAATAGCAGAAAATGAATTTCTAAGTTAGTAGAGCTTCAGTTCTATAAGCTACTTTTTTTTTTTTCCTTGTAATAGAGACAAAGAATTGATCATTAGTCATATGAAAGCTGTGGAAGCCACTCTTCATAAGGTAAGAATCTGGTTTGTGTTTCCAAACGTATCAAAGTTTTACAACGGCTTATTCTCAGGGAAGGAGGAGAGTAGAAATTGTAAAGCAACTTCCTTTCCTTAGAGTTTGTTTCTACCTTCAACTTCTTTTATCTTAAAAAAATATTCAGATTTAGTGAAATAAAATGCATTTTTGTACTACAAATCCGTATTGTTTTTAATATAAAACTTATTACAAAATCCACTATCCTAACCTTAATCACTGGGAGCACAATTTCTGGTTACCAAGTGAAGACTATTGAATATCCAAGGCAATTGCTGTGGAGTTAAGTCTCTACTGTGTAAGGCAGCGGTCATTTGCTGCAGTCTCATACATGGTGGCTATAAAGTCTTTGTGCCTGCTGGTTTAATCTTTGATATATGATTAAAAAAATAAGGAAGATACAGTAAGTGGTAACCTGTAGTCAAAAACTTTAATGATAATTTTTAAAAACAGTTTTAAATTGAGTAATAATCTTAAGTGACTTGCACTATTTTGCCCTGGTTTGGTATTTTTGAAAGTCCAACAAAGCTGTATATATTAATTATTTGGGAGAAATGACTGTTTTTAACTGCAGCTGTAAAGGTTAGGTTTTTTATAACTGTTTTTAGTCTAGAGCAACACAGAGCAGAATAAGTGTTTTTATTACCTTGGAGTGTTAATTTCCCTTATAACATCTTGAATTCTCAGCAATATGGCAATCTATTCCTTATTTTAGTTTCTGTGTTCACCAGAAGTGTTGCTAATTTAATTTTCAGATACCTTTTTTGAGTTTCTCTTTGCTTTAATGTTCATGGAAAATGACAGAGCCTAAAATTGTGTTTTAGCTGCAGCAAACTGTGCTGGTAGAGACTGTCTTGCTTTGTGCCCCCTCCTTTTTTGTGGTGGCTTCTTTTAAGCCTAAAATGTACGCCATGCAAAAAGTGCTGTGTTTTTGCAGTAACAAATGCAGTTCTTGGCATTGAGAATTTATTGTTCTGGATTGCAAAGTTACATTTTTATTTTGAAAGCTGTGCTGTTATATGCATAAGGGCTGAAGTGTTTTGAGGAAAAGTTATAGATAAGGTCACATGCTTAGTAGTGATTATCCTGATGCAGTAAATTGATCAAGAAACAGCCATCTTTTTGTGAAAATTTTAGTTACCACATCTGCTTCTTAGTTTTTGATGTACACAGTTGTTAAGCCCAAATAGCATATTATTGAGCAGCAGAATAATTTATCCTTTCTGGTTTGTCAACCTAGAGAATGAGGAAAACATAAGAACTAGATATGACAGGATGCTCCTTTCAGCAGAAAATAAAAAAATTGATTGTAAATAATTCATAATTTGACATACCATTTCTCCTAGAAGAACAAAGGGAAAAAATATTGATCTTTGTTTGGGAAATATCTGAAATGTAAATCCTACATCATAATGGTAGCTAATTACCTAGCATTAATGAACATGGCTTATGTGTAAACTATCAAGTTTATACTGTTGTTCTTAAAGGGTTTCTCATACAGTGAAAAATCAGAGCTTAATGAAGTGGATGAAATACTAGTAAAGGAAGTCCAAACTTCTCTTTTCTCCACTAGAAATTCTGGAAACTGCTTTTATGTTCAAAAAAGAAATGAAAAGAAAATGGATAAAGTTCAGAATCATTTGGAGTTGAGTATGTATTACTGTTAGCTGCAGTTATACGTATGAGAGTTTGAAATTGAAGATTGTAGTATTTCTACATTGATATATTCATGAACAAATATCCAGAAAATTCCACTGCATCACTTGCAGAATCTGTATTATTAATGCATAATGCTGAATTTTTGCCTATAGACCTCAAAGGGATTTTATAGACATCCTTAGTAATCTTAGTTGGACTGAGGATAAGACAGTATTCTCTGATCCATTAAAGTGGCCTCATTCTTTTCTAACTCTATTCCTATAAGAATTCCAGAAGGCAGCAATACAGGTACTAGATAAATCTGCCTTTGGGCATACCTGGGTATAGCATTCAACAAACAAAGCAAGAAGAATCAGAGCAGAAGGAAACAATCTCTGTGCATGCTTCTAATGCAGCTCTAGACAAGGGATCATTTACACCACTTTCTGCCCCCTGCTGTGCCTGGATGGAAATTCTAGTATCATACATTTGACTAAGTCAAAAAGTGCTTGGCCATGCTTGTGCACAGAATGATTCTTTCAAGACCATTTGAGAGCCACCTTTTATAACCATCACGAATATTTATGGAGCATAAATGCTGAAGAATTTGAGCACTGCATACACTGAGAGAAAATATTTTTAGCATCTAGTTCCATGTTCTTCATAAATTGCAAGATATTCTTTGAAAGGTTATTTTTTGTCTATCCTAGATCTTGTCACATTAGCTATATTTATCCTACTCCTGGAGCTGAATTATTTACACAAAAGTTCATGATATCATTAAAATGAGAGATCTTTCTTTNTAAATAGTATGGATAAATATCTAAATGCAAAATGAATGTTTTAACAAATTAAAAAACCTCAACAGAATATCACCAAGGGCAAACAAAGACCTCAAGAGGATATTGGTTTGGCTCAGTTTTATTTTCAAAATATTGAAGATGACCAAAAGGTAATAGAAAAATGATAATAGACATAAAATAATTTTTAATGAAAGAGTTCTGAGAGGAACATAAAGAGTTCAAACATAAAGAGTTTTCTTAAAAAGTCTTCTAATAGAAAGAAAAAACATTTAAGTGAATGTCTTTTTTTAGAATCCATCTGCAGTCCTTTTTTAATGTATGAAAAATAAATTATTTCTTGAAACACTTTCCTCTCACAAAGTTGAGGTTATTATTTTTATTATAAATACACCCTTCTTATACTTGCTGATAAACTATCTCTTTATTAATTTCTTCTTACTCCTTAATATCATGTTTGTATAAACAGATTAAGAGACATTAGATCTGTTCACTTTCTGTAACTAGATTCTTTAACATGCATAGTTAATGATGTACTAGTTATGGTAATACCATCAGCAGAAGAAATCATTTTACACTACCTCTACTAAAATCTTCAGCTTTCCCTTTATATTGCTTCTTCGTTTGAGTGCTTGTGGTGGGTTAGCCTTGGGCACCAGCCAGAGGCCCACTCAGATGCTCTCTCACTCCCCCTCAACAGGACGGGGGGAAGAGATAGCATGAGAAAGCTCATATGTTGTGATCTAGATTGCATACTAGTTACTGTCACAGGTAAAATAGCCGACTTAGGGAAATTATTTTATTTATTAAAATAGGTTTGGAGAGTTTGAAACAACAGTTAAAAAATAAGCATTATCCTGCCTTTTAAACTTAACTTTGCTCATGACTCCTTTGCTCGTGCTCTGAGATAGAGGGCCTTGCAGTCAGTCCATAGTAACTACTCTCCTGCTGCTTCTTCCTCCTTATACTGTTTCCTTGAACCAGTGTGGGCTGCAGACCTTCAAGAATACCTGCTCCAGTATGAGCTCTGCATGACTTTCAGTTCCTTCAGGAACTATCCACTTGCTCTGTTGTGGGATCCTTCATGGACTATGGTGTGGACCTCTCCAGGGGCTACAGGGAAATACCTGATCCAGTGACTCAAGCATTTCCTCCCCACTTCTTCTCTGACTTTGATGTTCAATCTTTTTCTTCCCTCCTGCTCTCCCTGTGTGGTGTGCTTTTTCCAGTCTGAAATTCATTTTCGCAGCGGGGCCACCAGCAGGGCTGTGGGGCTCAGCCGTGTCCTGCAGTGGTCCGTTGGTGGTGGCTGGAACTGGCTTTGTCCCACCTTACAGAGGCTGCCCTCCAGCCCCTGTTGCCAGCACCAGGGCCCCTGCACCTGGTACAGTGCTATAACTGCCTCCTCTTCAGCCTGCCTATATCCCTGTACTCTACACTCAGCCTCTCCTACACACCATTATGGGAAGTTATCCCAGCGAGTCAGCCTTTACAGAGGCAGAAAATTGTTTCTGTTTCTCCTTGTGCTCTTAACTATTAAAATCTTGACAAGCTTTATAGTCTGTCAGAGTTTTCAGCCTGTCGTGACTGCTTAGGATTTGGCCATTTTAGCAGGTAAAATACCATGTCCTCACCATTTTTCCTAATACCAGTTAGCAACCTATGCATTCTGACATTTTAGAACAGGTCAGGGATCAAAGCATCTATCCAGTTTGCTCCTTTCCTTTTGGCACTTGGTCAGAAAAATTACTCTTCATTCACTTCTGTAGTGCACTTCATTTCTGCTGATTGAAAGGTTCCTATGCCAGCTGGCAGAACAGCTTCCATGCAGACCTGTCAGCAGTCATGCCTTGAAATCCTTCCACTGTTGTGTTTCACTGCCTCGCTGCCACTCCTGTTGTCTTGTCTGAAATGTCCCTAAACTGTCTATATATGATTTCTGAGCCCCACGGTTCTATCAGTTGAAAAAAATAGGAATACTGTATCATCTATCCTGTTACATACTTGTAAAAAATACGAAGACATCTTTCTTTATCTGATTTAATGATGTATTTTTTTTAATACAGCACGAAGAGACAGTGGAGACAGGGTGAGGCCATTGAATACTTGAGAATTAGTAAGGTTGTAACATTAGATTGTTGTTACTGATGGGGTCCATAGCAATCAAGTGCATTTCCTTAGAATGGCTGTTTTACAGCCTGCGAGGAATTAATTTACAAAAGGTTTAAGTCCATATACAGGTGACTACATCAGTAAAAACAGTATAAGTGCTAATAGTTGTTGGTTTCAGCAAGAAGATCACAAGTTGACCAGGCCCTGGAAGAACAGAACAGTTATAAGTCTTAAGTTAGCTACCTCAGTTGGACTCCAGTAGACATGACCTGATATACGTAGGTATAGTGATCAGCCACATTTCTCTCAGTTAACTGGGATCTGTAGTCCATCATATTATTTATTTATTATTATTAGTTATTGTTATTATTTAGTTATCTCAATAGTAATTTAAAAGCTCTTGTTTTAGAGATCTCAACTTAAAATTTT